CAAAGACACTACAGAGAGTATAGACAGTAAATATGCCAATTTATAAATTAAGATGTGAAAACATGGAACTTGTAACCTATAGCTGAGAAGGAATCAGGCCGAAATTATTTTTCCCCCACAAGCTCTCCTATTCTCCTTGAAATACAAATTTAATTCAGAGAGAAATACAAAGAGAAATATAGAAATAAAGAGAAAAATACAGAGAAAAAAAGTATTAACAGATTTTAAAAATAAAATTGAGTCTAAATACACTTTTCCCCATTTTAAGTTGTTTGATTTGGTAGTTTTAAAAAGCACTTATGACATGCCATAAAACACACTAGCACCCAGAGTGGACAGAAAGCTGCTGCAAATCTACTCTTGCCACACAGGTAAGTGGCTTAATGACCAAGGAAAAGTTGGTGGTTGTCACACAGGCGATGTGGGCTCAACACTCTTCTTGGGGAATATTTACATCTCCATTACACTGAGCTGAGACAGGGAGTCAGAATGTCTCAAAAAATATCACTATGGCTTTGTTTGCTTTCTTCTTCCTCTCTAAAAGTGTAACCATATGCTAAGTTTAGTGGGTGTTTTTAGTTGTTTCTTAATTTGGAGTTTATTTAAATTCTAAAAAAATAGATTTGATTGCCAACCAGTAAGTCAGAAATAATTCTAGTCAAGTCAGCATAAACCAGGTACAAATTAGCATGAAAACTGTGAAAAACAGCCTCAGGTACATCAGTTTCAAGATCATATAGTACATCTATTGCCCAAGCAGTGTGAACTTTTTAGACTGCCGTGGGATTTTGAATATTATTACCGGAGAATAACACTTCTTTTAGAAAACAGACAATTTAGACAAAACTACTTTTAACTTCTTTTTATGCCTGTTCACAGAAAACTTTTCACCTTCTTTTTGTAGAGTATTGCTTTGAAACATGCAATAGTTTAACAATGTTTTTCACACTGTTAAACCTCCCAATTGTCAAAATTCGTATTACTCAAATTTTTCACCCCACTATTTTCCATCTCAAAATGCTCTTTGAAGCTTCAATTCACATTAATGTTCGTAAAGAAAATTTAAAAACCCCTAAACAGCAAAATGCCCCAGCCCACATCTCACAAAGCTGCATTTGTAAATGTTTTTAAACCTCAAGTCCTCAGTGCAGATACCCAAACTGTGAGCAGTATAAATCAAAGCCTCTGTGAACACCTGATATGCATTACCTACACATTTTTATATAATATGTCACCATCTCCTAATGCCCCATCTCTCAGCTCTCTGCTCCATTAGTGACCAAAGATTATGCTTTTTTTCCCTTCCTGACAACATCAGAAACTGAAAACACAATCAATGACTTGCTGGCCAGGAACTAAGCGTCAGACAAGCTCATATCCTGCCCTCCTGATCCAGCCTGAATAGGAAAGTTAATGACTTGATGAGCAGCTCACCAAAGTGCCAAAACAAACCTTTGTAGGAATTGCCATGAGCCAGCAAACCATGTCCCAGTCCTTACAAAAAGCACTGGCTCTGCATGGGACAGTGCACACTGAGCCTGGGAGAGAAGCAATGAACGAACCCAGAGGCCACCCCAATTTACAAGGATGACATGACATTCCTCCCCTTTGCTCAGAACATCTCTGAGGTACCACAGGACTTGGCTAGGAGGTACCAGAGAGCACTGGCCACTGACCAGCAGCCCTCGTGGTCACTTCTGGAAGCAGGGTGGCCCAGCATAGCCAGCTCTCGGGCCTCTGGACTGCCCTGCAATCAAGCAGTGCAGACTCCTATCATTCACACAAATTAATTCAGAGAGCACTGCTTCCAGAATAACAAGGAGGGATGCACGACTAGAGTGAGAGTTCTCTTGGCATCTGATTCAAATAGCAGCTTCTTGCAAGAAACTATTTTTAAGTTTTGTATCAATCTGCTTGAGAAAGGTTCCTTCTGCTGCCTACAAATGTGCAAACTCCTCCTTCGAAGAAACACAGCTCAGGACAGCAAGATCCAGCCTTGCACTTTCAACCTAATAAAGAACAGATATTTCACGACCAAAGCATTGCACAACACACAACGTTCCTGCAGAATATGCTCTGGTGAGGGCCCCCATTACCTTCAATGAGTCCTGTGTGTTCTTCACAAGATTACAGGTAGCACACAGTTCATTACCTGTGAAACAGCCCACACAGAGGCAGTCTGACTGCTTCTGGAAGCATCACTGCTTTTTCCACTGCAACAGGCATGGAACTGCTATAGGAGATTAAGGAAAAAGGGGGAAAAGGGCAATCCAGTAAGGTATGGATGCTGCACATGACCTGACCAGTGAGGTGAAACCATTGTTTGCTGGGTTATCAGAAGTTCCTGTATGAAGGCATTGTTCAAGCTTAAGAGGTCTGTGAGAGAAAAAAAAAACAACAAGCAACAGCAGCACACAATGGATGCAGATAAGCAAGGTCTGAACAAAGCCCTGGGCGGCTTCAAGACAACGGGAAAACGTATTAGCCACAAGCATCCTATATCCTGCCTCCAATAAAGCAACACAGATGTTCTGCTAATGCAGGGCAGACAAGAGAGCACTAAGCAGCTATTGAGCCCTCCACAGGAGAGAGGGTCGCTGTTCCACAGCTGTTGGGCACAAAGACATCCACAGGATGGGCAAGAAAAGCCTCTTAAAGGGTCGGAGAATGTAACACCTCTCTGGTGACTGGTAAGGGTGGTCACCCTTATAGCCATGAGCCCCTAAAGACCACTGCAAAAAGTGCTTTGGAAGCCCACCTCTGGCCCAGGAACAGAATGACCATTTTTTGAGGGTTTAGTCCCCAGGGGAGTTATTTCCACTGGGAAATGCATGGCTTTAAGACATGCACACACTCAGGCTGCACACTGGGGACCACAGTCCTCCATGGCACAGGGAAACTGGGCTCTGTCCACTGAGAGCTGCTGGATTCATGGGGCTGAAGGAAGTGCTCCAAGACCCACTGTCCTGTCTGCAAAGAAGGGTGCATCACCTTTGGCCAAAGTGCTCTGCACAGTCAGACTTCTCCTCAAGTACTTCCCAAAGACAGAGCTGTCAGCCCTCCATGAGGCTTTCCTAAGTCCAAAAAACCTGTTCTCTGGAAAATTCAGGTCACTTAACCAGCACATACTAGGCATCTGCTACTGTGTCATGAGGAAACTGCAACCAGAACGTTATTTAACAGCCAGTTACACAGGAAACACTCTGAGCTGTAGAAGATCACACCCTACTCCTTCCCCTGAGTTTTTTTTTTTTTTGTTTTCTTAACATCGTGTTCCCCATCCCATCCCCATTACTGAAGTGGGAGAAGTGTTTGCTCATACCAGTGGGTGGGATTTGAACCCCAGCTGCCCATGGACTTGGTCCTGCACATCGTCCCAGCCCCAGCTGTGCAGAGAGGGGCTGGCACAGCTGGGTGTGCTGCAGGAACTGCACTGCCAACAGCACAGCAGGAAAGTGTCACACACGGGGTGACAGCACAGCTCAGAGCCCAGCCAAGCTGGATGGCTGCACTGGGACACCGCCCAAGATGCTGCAAACATCAGCAAGGGGCACAAAACTATCCTCCACAGCATGACAGCCCTCCTTTCCATTCACAAAGATACACTGTAAAATATTAACATGTTAATCTCTTCATTAAAAATATCTGCACTGCCATTAGCTACAAATCAAAAGTTTCAATGGCAAAAAGACTAAGATTATTTCCCCCTTCAATAAAAAAATGCTTTTCTTTCACTGTCAGCAAACCAGCAATGTAAATGAACATTTGAAAGTCACTGTAAAACTAAGAGTAATTTCATATAATCAGATTAAAAAGAGAAAACCAAATGCAAACAGAAAACTTGAGCTTCTTGGAAAAAGAGAACAGCAATGAAAACATGAAGAAGCCACTAACAGGAACAAAATGGGTAAACCAATGTTAGTCCAGATCCAGTCCTGGTCTGAACCTCTGCATATATAACTCTACCAGTTCTGTTACTCATTAGACTCATAAAAATAAACACAAATCTTTTCAAGCAACAGTTGAAGTTTAAGAGAAAACTTTTAAGATTATAAAATTTTCCAGACTCTTTCTAGAAATTTTAACAGGTTGATTACTTTGGTCAAAACATTAAACACAATGTCAAGAATTCTCATCTGCTATCAGTTATCCATATGGTCTCAGAGCAAAAAATGCTTTTGAGGAGTCATACATTTGGGGAAACAAAAAAAAAAGGATCTTCCTTTCCAAAGAACCATGGTGAAGTGAGGCCAGAAAGAAATGCCCACATCCCCCTCCTGTGAGCCCCTCCACTCCTCACCCTGACTCACAGTCCAGGTCTTTGGTATTTTTGAAAGTCATCCCTGGAACTCCAGCAGGGACAAGCAACCAAGAGAAATTTACTGCCTCCAAATTCAACTCTGCAAGGACTAGCACCAGTCTCATGGCTCAGGCCTAGCAGAGACATTGAGTTCGTGTGTCCCAAGCAGAAAGCACTTCCCCAATGACCATTTCTGGAAATGTTCTCCAAATAGTTTGGCTGGTCTGCATCGACAGGACAACCTTAAAGTGCATTTGCAACTCTGTCTCCAGGAAATACACGTAAAGTTGATTCATTATCTTAAAATGCTGCTTTCATCTTTGCTCACTAAAAACACATTTCAGATCCCTGCACCAAATGCACTGCTGATGTGATCTGGACACTCAAAACTGATTTCAGTTTTCTATACTCTTATTTCATTTGCTACCCACAACCAGTGTTCTCTGTTTCAGGGACAGTTATATCAGACCTGAGCTACCACTGAAAAATGCCCGGGATAAAATCCTCTCTCCCTGCAATGCCTGGCACTCCAGGCAATGGCACCCAAAGTCAGACTCAGCCTAGATTTCAGGAGCAGCATCCTCCCTGCAGACACAGAGCAATAAACAGCTGTTCTGCACATCCCACACCCCTGCCTGAGCCACTCGGAAGGGAAAGAAAAACAAGGCAGCTTAGGCAACGCACGCGTTTCAGTCCTCACCTTTAGGGAGTCAAAGCAGGCAATAACTCGACCATTTTCCACATGGCAACTCCGTGACGGATGGGCGAACTTGCACTCTGCATCAGACCGAGAACAAGTCCCTCTCTGAAACTCTCGACACACTTCTAACGTCAGCCATTTTGTATCACGAACCAGGGAAACGTTTACAGCCATATTAAAAAACAAAAATTAAAATGCAAGCAATCGCACCCCTTCCTCAGGGTAATGTTTACTGCTGATCTTCTTTTTCTTCTTTTTTTTTTTAAAAAAAGGGTAAAAAAGTGAATTCAAGTTAAATGTGAAGAAATAACTAACTTGTTGCTTTGGTAGAACTCCTATTCATCAGCACTTAGGTTTTCATTTAAGTCAAATCGTGTTTCTTTAAACAAGAATTAAACATAAAGCCAATCATAAAATAGAAATCTTATCAGAACAACTGAAAATCAAATTAGAGGCCAGCTCCTAAAAGTGCAATTGTAGAAGTTAAAATACAAGTGTTATATTTTGTGCCACTGCCAAAGTTACTTGCAAATAACTGGCAGACTTTCAAAAGAATTCTGTGCTCTCCAGTTAATGGTTTCAATTATTCTTGCAAAAAGCATATGCTGCTGGCAGCACTTCAGTTTGTGGAATGGTCTCGGTCCTTGGGGAGAAAACTTCGGGTTTGTTTTTTTTTTTTTTTTCCTTCTATTTCTTGCTTCTAAAAATTATGGTTCACGAGCATCAAAACAGGCAAAAGGATGTTAGATTTTTTTTTCCTCTTTCTTTTCTTTTAAATATTTGCTACATAGTCGGGGGAAGGAAAAAAAAAAAAAAAAAAAAAAAAAAAAAAAAAAAAAAGGGAAAAAAAAAAAAAAAAAAAAAAAAAAAAAAAGGGCAAGGCTGGAGGAGCCGCCGTCAGGGCACGGACTGCAAGCAACGCCGAATTAAACAGAGAGGGGGGCGAGGGGCAGAGAGAGGCAGCCCTAGACAGAAATCCAAGCAGCGGTGGCTTCAGGAAAGGCACTTTTCAGCAACCTGCAGGAAAAAGAGAAATAGAATCAGCCAGGAGCCTGCGGCCCCGCTCGGGCGGCGCCGGCGGCCATTGCGGGCACGGGGGCACTGCCCGCGCCGCGCTGCGCATGGGAGGCGGCGCCGGCCAATGGCGCTTGCCGTTACAGCAGCCCCGCGGGCAGCCGACCAATGGCAGCGCCCGTTCCATAGCGCCGCGGTGGGGGCCGCCGCGCGCCGCAGCCCCGGGACAGCCCCGGCTCGGGCTGCGCCCCACGGGCCCGCCCGGACCACGGGGAATCCTCTGCTCCTCGGCACTTTGGGTTTCTTTAATTCACTAACCCACCCCCTGTTCTGGAGGAAACGTTCAGGCAGCAAGAGCAGCCGGTGGCTTTCTTACATCCCAGGCTCCTGCTCAGCCCTGCACCGCTCCGCACTCCCAAGGTGTTCCATCAAACCCATCCCCAGCGCAGGGCTGCTCCTGCGGTGGCACATGGAGACAAACGACTGCTTCGCAGCCGCTCCTCTATGGATTCAGAGCCTACAAAACTAGGAGCAAACCCGACAGGGAAGCCTAAGCCACACACACACACGGAAAAAATTAACTCATTGCTCACAGCTGTAGTTTTCCACCAGACCAAAGGCAACTCGAATTACTCTGACTCCAGCAACTCGTGTTATACAACAAACAACTTTCAATGCATTCCAGTTGAAGGCTTCCTTGGCATCCATTAAAATGTTAAGCTGTCTCTAGAGTCTCCCATTCTAATATTAGCTGTACCATTGCCGCCTGATAGGATTGGGTTGTTTCCAAGTTCCCAAAATCCGGCCCTTTATCTTCCTAAAGTACGACCGTCCACTTCTGCAAACATTTGACAGGCGCGGGATGTTGCCTGTGTGACTGCTATTAAGATTTCAAGCTTTCGTAGGAGAAAAGCCTTCAACTACAAAAAAAGGAAGCTTAAATTCCTCTTTCATTATTGGTGTGTTATTGCAATTACACTGATCAGTAACTGAAACCTACTGGAGCTGGAAACAATGGAAACAATGCTACCAAGGAAGAAGTGTGGGAAGAGGCTGTCATCAGCAGCAGGGGGTGGGGCACAGAGGCTGTTTGATTCACAGATCGAATTATTTCAGTTTAGAAAAAAAACAACACTCATTAAACCTACACTGCAAGTACTTTCTAGGCTTAATTAGACTCAAGTTGATAACAAAACCTCCCCAGATCCCTGCAATTCAGCTTGAGGCATCAGCACAAAGCTTGGTCTGACCCATGCTTCTGAAAGGACCTTTGCATTTTTGCACATCAGGTGGGGAACAGAGACTGCAAACGTCATATTTCCTAAGCATGTTTTAAACTTCAAAGAGAAGGAAAAAAGGCACACCTAACCATGCTCATGTCTTTTGGGCTTTGTAAAGAGGAACTGCTCTAAATAAATTCCAATTTTGCAAACAGGGCAAATTTATACAGGAATCCTATTCACTGATATGTGGGCTCCCTGTTCAACTGAGCTCAGAAAGCAAAAGAAGGGAGAAGATGGGCAGAAATCTTCTGCAGGGAGCTAAGGACTAGCTGGGTGCAGCTCTTAAAAACGAGCTAGAACAGGTCAGATATGGGTGGGGATTAGAAAGAATGCAGTCTCAGAAGTTCTTTCGAGCAGACTGAAATACAACCATCTTGTGGATTAAGTGTCTATTCCACAGCTTGAGACTCCCAAGGCAAGTAAGGGTCTGTTAATGCTGGGGATAGAATATGATGGGTCTGACTTAACACACAGTTACACCAAACACCAAGATGTCCAAACAGCATAGCAACATCCACCCTTCCCAGCCCCTGAACCTCAGGAAATCTCAATGTAACAAACCAAATGTTGACCTTGCTCTCAAGCCATGCACCTCAGGATCACACACTGCCCACAGGAACACTAAATTGCACTAAACTGTTCAGTCCTCAAAATGAAGGGCATCATGTTAATGAAAGCTAAATCAAATGAATTATATAAAATATTAAACTATTAATAAAAAAATATTCAGACACATGTAACACAGTGGATATTTTTCTTTGCAACTTGTGGAGTAGGGAACAAGCCCACTAATGGAAATTGCCCCTGCCCCACACCCTGCAGAAGGGCACATTTATCTGTGCAACATTCAAGAGACAAGAAATTTTCTGTGCCGTGCAAACAACCCCACCTCCCTGCAGAAGGACTGACTCATCTCAGACCCTGGCACTAGAACTTCTGTACTGGAGGGAGCCAAATTAATGAATCTATTTTTCATACCACAATTCTGCAGCCTGCAAGGCACCTGGCAGGGCACTGCAGCAGCACACACTGCCCCATCACTTGTTTGCTGGGCACTCAGGAGAGCAGTTAAGCACATGCTTAACTCTGAGCATGCCAACAGTCTTTCTGAAAAGAAAATCTGAACCATGTATTTAAGTGCTTTGCTGAATCAGGGCCTAAATAAATGAATCTGCTTCACAGGTTTATCAGGACTGCGAGGCCAGCAAGCACGGGCAGCAGTCATCGTGTTTCGGCTTACATGATCACAGCCCAGAGGAGCACGAGTTAGGCTTTTCTGCAAGTCAACAAATACAGTTCTGTCAGCATTTGGATTGCTGCAAATCCCTCTCTATGTGGTCACGGGGAAGGCTGGAAACGCATGCATGCAAGGCTGACATCACAGCAAGCGCTGCACACTGCTGCAGCGAGGCTCCCACGCACAGCCCAAGGACAGCACACCCCAGACAGGAACACTGACAGTACAGAGCTTCAGCTCTCCAGGTTTCAACTCCTGGCAGTGAACAACTGTTCTCACCAGCATGCACCCTTTCAATTCCCTTGTATTACCCTTTTTTTTGCGGGGGGGGAGGGTGTGGGGTGGCTGGCATTTTATTCCCTTTGTTCTCCCGTACATTTCAAATGGGAGGAATTAAAAAAAAAAAAAATGCATGCCAAAACCAACATACAACCTACAAGGATTAAAAAGTAGCTCCAGAAATCAGGGGCTTCGTTAGCGTACAGGAAATACAACAAAGGGTAGGTGCTGCCTTTTGAACCCTTCTCAGCAAGCCAGATCCGTCTGGCAGGGCTCAGCTCCTCCACTACCAGATGAGCCAATCTCATTTCAACTGCGTCCGCATCAAAGCTGGAGAAAGCAGCAGAGCAGAGAGAAAAGCCTGTGGCCTTTATCCCTGTAAAGAAACTACAATATCCCTGAAGCCTCTGCTCCAGGGCCACTTGCTGGGCCAGGCTCTAATTGCCTCAGCTGCAGGAGGTTGGGGCTTGCTCCAGATGTCAGCCCCAGCCTTACAGCTGCCAAAGTGCAAGGGAACAAGGGCAGTCTGAGGAGTAAGGGTCACACCAGGGCTCGCCTCTGGCGGGACTAAGATGCCCTGACCGCTTGAGGTAACATGAGGATGAGCGTATTTCACTTGATGCTTGAATTCCTCCTGCTTGCCACGAAACTGATCCCCTTCCACTGACAACCCCCATGGATGTCAACTTGTGAGGACACTTCCTGACAGCCGAGTTCAGAAATGGTAATTTATGTGACAGGATGGATTTGAGCAGCTCCCAAGTGTAAATGATGCTATTTAAAAGATTTTTTTTTCCTTTTTTTTTTCTTTTAAGAAAAAATGACTCAGTACAAGTGCCAAGGTGGGTTCTTCATTTACTATTTTTCAAGGATTTCTGGGTCACAACTGCTCAGCTGAGAAACAGAAGTGCTGTTGCCCTAACTCACAGTCCAGTGAGTAAGAACAGCAGCTATTCCCTTTGCCTGAAGAGGAATAGGGATACTGCAGATACATTGGAGTCTTCCCAAGGTTAAGTTCTAGTCGTGCCCGTTTTTTATCATATGCGATGCTGTCCATGCTCCTCTTCCACTCAAACCACCAGCATGTGACCATGGAACTGAGGACTGGCTCTCCTGAGACCCAGCTCAGCCCTACACTGCCAGGCTGCAGTGTGCTTTAGCTAGTTTTGCAAGTTATGGTGAATGAAAGCTCAGACCCATCATGGATGGATGGATGCCCTCAAGGCACAGCAATAGAGAAATTGTGCTTGCAAAATCAAGACCTCCAATTTTATACCAATTCCACTAAAACTAAATATTGCTATTAATGTTCACTGAGTGTCTAGATACTGTCAGAACCCAAAAGAGATTTTGTCTATGGGCTTTCCTCAAAGCAATAAATTCAGCTGTCAGTACAAATGCCACACTCACTCATCAGTCCTTGCACCTTCGAGATAATTCTGTAACTTGGGCTTTTTATTGCACCCTAATGAGTATGGAAGAGCTTGGTGTGCCTACCACCACATCCTTGATAAGCCAGAGTAGGGAACTCCTCACCCAAACAGCAGTGAGATGTTTCTATTATCAAACAATCTTCCAAATAAACAGTGTTCCTGGAAACACTGCAAAGGAAAGAGAAATAGGAGCAATGAAAATAGCATACTGAACTGTTTTGTTCTGAAAGAGAAAGAAAACTCTGTGGACAATACCACCACCAATCCAATAGCCTTCTTTTCTCTTCCACTTTCACAGCAAGTAGTAAAAAACACATGAAACTATATCCTTGCTTATCGAAGGAATAAAAAAGTTATAGAAAAAGGCAAGGTTTTACTGAAAAGCGTTCTACTGTTACATTTATTTACAGTGATGCATGAGTTAAGATAATGCACATTTGTGGGCAGCTTTCCAAGTCAGTGAGGACGGGAAACAAAAAGGTTAAAAAATTTTCACCTAGGATCTACCAAGCCAGGAACACAGTGACATTAGTTGAGTTGGCTGACATTAGAGAAGTTAATTTTGGG